CCGTCCAGAATTATCGCGTTGGAGGAGAACAGCACCTATACCGCAGCCGCTGGCGTCGGTATGCAGGAGTGTTGGGGCGGTGTCATCAAAATGGGAGAGTACAGGCTCTGACGTCAAAGCTTTCTTCAATAGGTTAAACGCCAACTGACATTCCTCGGACCACACAAAGGGTGCATTAGATGCAAGTAGTTTGTGAAGTGGCGCAGCTGTTGAAGCGAAATTTTGTATGAAGCGACGAAAATATGATGCGAGGCCAAGAAAACTTCGCAAATCCTTAAGTCTTGTGGGGCATGGAAATCGAAGGACGGCAGCGATCTTTTCGGGGTCAGGGCGAATACCGTCCTTGCTGACGACATGACCGAGAACCTTGATGGATTTGGTGGCGAAATGGCACTTCTTAGTGTTGAGCTGCAGACCCGCACCGGCGAGGCATGTTAGGACGTCATCCAAGCGGCTAAGGTGCTGAGAAAACGTTGATGAAAACATGATATTGTCATCAAGGTAGCAGAGACACGTCTTCCATTTCAGACCACGCAGGACGGTGTCGATCATGCGTTCAAATGTCGCGGGCGCATTGCAGAGCCCGAAAGGCATCACGTTAAATTCGTATAGGCCATCGGGGGTTGCAAATGCCGTTTTTTCTTTGTCGTCATCGTGCATGGGAATTTGCCAATATCCCGTACGCAAATCAAGGCTTGAAAAGTATTCGGCGCCTTGCAGTGAATCAAGGGCGTGATCGATGCGTAGCATGGGGTATACGTCCTTGCGTGTGATGTTGTTGAGTGCCCGGTAATCAACGCAAAAGCGCACGGAGCCATCTTTTTTTCGTACCAAAACAACAGGGGTTCACGAAGGGCTAGTTGATGGACGAATTATTTCTCGTTGGAGCATGTCAGCGACGTTTTCCTCGATGATTTTTCGCTCAGCGAGAGACACGCGGTACGGGCGGTGATGTACAATAGATGTTCCCTCCATCTGAATGCGATGCGCTGCAGTGGTAGTTCGGCCCAACGTTGAGGAGCAGGTGTCGAAAGAATCGGCGTGTTTCGTTAATAACGCAAGCAACTGCTGCGCCTGCATAGCTGTTAAGTCATCACTGATAAGAGTTGTGAAGGGAGAGGATGAGGCAGGCTTACTCATAGAACGGTCGTTGGTAGAGGCAGGGTTAAGTGGCGTGACGCTGACAGGCTCAGCGTCCACAACACAGGCTACTGCAGTGCCCTCTGGCAGGAGAACTTTCTCTTACGTTTCATTCGTAGCAATGACGAGCGCGGAGCCATGGTGAAAGCGTACGACACCTGATGCAAGGGCTATGCCTTTTGCATCATCAATATGTCATCAATAAACACACGAGCAGTACAAAAAGCAAAAGGGCGGATAGCGCTCTCCTGGGCTTCGACTAGATTGGGCCCATTATAAGGTGTCATTACTTTTTTCAGGCGTTTGCACAAATCATACCTAATCACAGAAACTGTAGCACCGGTGTCCACCAAAGCGTCCACGAGAACTCCTTCCACCGTAACAGAAACCATGTTGAACGGGCGTGCTGGAGGAATATGAGTCCTACTGTTACATGCAGTTTCTCCTCCGAAAACTGCATCATTTAGTTTTCCGAACGGTTGTCAGTAGTAAACGAGGCTGGCCGAAGAGGAGAGGAGGAGCGACGAAAGGGCGAAGGTGATCGGCGTCGGCTTGAACGGTAAGTGTTCCGCGTCTCAGTCGACGCGGGTGGAGATGGAGACCGCTGCTGTCCAGATGAATAACGCGGAGCGCAAGAATCCCCCCTGGAAAAGTCCCGTTCGCGCATGTCGTACCCGCGACGCTCGTCCTGCTGGCGCTTGCGGCATAAGCGAGATATATGTCCACGATATCCACAGTAAAAGCATGTTGGGCGGGACGGGCGCCAAGGCGGGTAATAGAGGGCGTTCGGCGCACCAGGAGATAGCGCACTCAAGTGGACTGACGGATGGTCGGGTGGGATTGGCCGGAAGTGGACCGGTGGTGCAGCAGCAACCGGCGTGAATGGTGGCAGCGGTGAAGTAGAGTTTACGTTGCGAGGAGGCGCGGCCGCAACTTGCGCGTACGTTGGAGGGCTAGACAGAGGTGGCTGGACGTAGGCTGGACCGGTGAATGATGTTAGTTCCTCCCTTACGATGTCACGGAGGGCCATGCTTGAAGGCTGTGTGACAGATGGAGAAGGTTGTGAGATGCCCATTGATTGAAGTTCTTCTCGTATGACCTCCCGTATCATGTCACGCAGGTCCCGGTCTGCTCTACGGTGTTCACTATTGCCCGACTGAAGGCGAACAGAATCAAGTTCGTCGAGACGCTGACACGTAGAGACGACGTCAGTGACAGTGGAAGGATTCTGGGCAACAAGGGCATTGTAGGCAATGCTTCCGATGCCCTTCCGGATGTGGCGCAGTTTGTCCGACTCGGACATCGAAGAATTGACGCGCCGGCAAAGCGCAAGGACATCCTCGATATAAGATGTGTATGACTCGCCGGGATGTTGTTGGCGAGTATCTAGGGCCCTCCTAGCTAGAGCGGATCGAACGGCTGGCGTGCCGAATACATGGCGAAGCTGCTGCTTGAAGGCAGGCCAGTCGGTGAGGTCGATCTCATGGTTCAAGAACCATGTTTTGGCAACGCCCGTGAGATAAAGCGATACTCGGCGGAGCTTGTTAGAGTCGTCTCAGTGATTAGTTGCGCTTACTCGCTCGTAGTTATCGAGCCAGTCCTCCACATCTTCGCCGCGGAGACCAGCGAAGTTCGGAGGGTCACGCTGGTGGTTTACGATGTAAAGAGGAGGGGCTTGCGGCGCAGTGACGGCTTGCGGCGCAGAGACGGGAGCAGAAAGGGCATCCACCCACTCACTCTGAGACATGTTGGTGGACTGAGGGTCCAAGCGATGGCCTCAACGGAGCTCCAGCGAGTAGGCGTTGTAAGGAGAGGTACTGGGAACGTCAATCCACCTCCACCACGTATGACGACTCGGTTGTAACGAGGTTTATTCGTCGTGAACTCGAGAACGAACAAGCGCAACGGACCCAACAAAGAAGCGCTCATGTCAAGAAGATGATGATTGTCAGCCAGAACAAATGATGATGATTGACTGCTGTTCAGATGAGGATAAAGCGCATAATAGATGCCTACAATATATATATATATATATATATATATATATATATATATATATATATATATATATATATATATATATATATATATATATATATTGAAAGTCTTCCTGGATTCCGCTCGAGTTATAAGTCACCAGAAGAAGCGAACGAGCAAGCGAAAAACGATGCTTTATTGCCAACGTTACAGCCAAGGACCGGCCTTCGTCAGGGCATACGTGCATAATACATTAACACGCACTTCTTAAGGACATAGCATGGGGGCCACCAATTGTGAATAATCACTCTTAGCAATATTGACATACATGTTAACAAAAAGATATTCAGACATGCGCAGCATTTTGTTGATAGCGGAGCAGCAGTGCGCTATACAGAATATGGTAGGACAAGGTGACTTGAAAACATAGATACAAATAATATGATGAACACTTGTGATATCGCAACATTTGTGAATGAACAAAAAAGGCAATGCCATGGTAAGTTACGTTCGTTGTCAATGAAATATACATGAGCATGATATCACCATTGATGCCACAAATGTGGTAACAGAGTGTGCATGCGTTCTGGTCAACTAACTAATGTGTCACCAATGACACCGCAACGTAATCACGGCAGTGAACAAACGTGTATGTGGGCTACGGCGGTTGATTTATCTGTTTTGCCGGTAAAAACGTAAGCCTTCCTGGGTTCTCGTTCATTCCAGAGGCTATGGCCTTAAATTTATGAATAAGAAAAGATTCACGGACTTCCCTTTCGTAGTGCGATTTAAAACCAGATTCGAGTACTGTGGCACTTATGTTGTCGGAAGAGTGGCCTGGGGTAGCGAGGTGTTTGGACAGGGGAAGGCTAGGCGGGCACCTGACGTGTGACCTGTGATTATTGAAGCGCAACCGGAAAGCTGTCTCCGTTTGACCAATATATTGGAGGTCACACAATGAGCATTTGAGCAAGTAGATTGCATTGCTCGTGTCGCAGTCGAAATTGCCTTTTATCCGGAGAGTGAAGTTTGACGCAGAGCTCTTAACAATACGCGACGTGGTCATGTGGGGCACACCTTGCAGCGTGCCTTGTTGCATGGGTGACACCCCACACGGGCTGGCGTTGATAGTTTGGATGACGTAAGTATGTCTCGTAGGTTTCTCGATCGGCGGTAAACTGCTTGTGGAGGCTCCGGGAAGACGTCTTTGAGACGATTGCTCTGCATTAGTATGTTGTAGTGCTTTTTGAGGATCGCGTTAGCATTTGGAATTGACGGAGAATGCGTCAGAATCAAATTGATGTGCTTCCGGTGCGCCGGTTCTTTATTTGATTTTAGAAGCGCTCTTCGGTCCATTGCATCGGCACGCATGATCGCGTTGTCCATAATCTGAGGCGGGTACTGTTGTACAGTTAGGGCATCACGTAGCTTATCACAGTTTTCAACAAAGTCTGAATTTTCAGAGCACAGCCTTTTGAAACGAAGTGCTTGACTGTAGGGTATACTCGTCTTACAATGTTTTACATGGCTGCTTTTGAAATGAAGGTATCGGTGAGCGTCGGCGGGTTTTCTGTATACTTTAGTAGATAATGTTTCGCCGCAAAGGAATACTGTTACATCCAGGAAACAGATGGATGCCTTCGAGTACGATTGTGACAATGAAATGGATGGATGGACCTTGTTAAAGTCTGCAATGAAAGTCATTAGTTCCGCTTCGCCGTGATGCCAGATAATAAAAATTTCGTCTATAAAACGTTTGTAGTAGTATGGCTGTAGTCTGCACGTTGAAAGAAAATGTTGAAGAAAACGTTGAAGAAAAAAAAAGAAAAAGAAAGGATGTCTTCTGACAGTGTTCCACGATCTCAAACTTGGTTTTTGCGCAGAGCGAAGTTGCTTCGGTGCCTGCCTACGCGACGGAAATCATGCAGCGCATGCTGAGCGGGCCCAGCTTCAGCCAGTGTGGCGTTCTGCGCACGTGCTGCAACGTGATGGCACCACCAGTGAACCGTGGCGGCCCAATGTTTCAGCCAGAGAGTCCTCTGCAGACGAACATCATGGCCCAGCTCTTCCCGAAGAAAGCTACCTTCGCATCACAACACAGGATGCCGGCACCAAACTTGCCCTTACCATTTGTAAGTAGTGCTTGGAAACGCTTTGCGACACAATATTTGACACTTGACATGAGGGACTCTGGAAAACATGATGTTATAAAAACGAACCTGTTTAGCACAGCTGTTCCTTGTAAGCTGAGAACAACAACAACAACAAAAAAATGCTAGGCCTGTGCGAAATGCGCAGCACAGTCACATTGAAATCTAGAAGGGCGACATTACAGAGCCTTTTGTAAACACTCACTGCACAAATTCTGCAAGCACACTTCCTTGATACCCACTACGGCCTTAATAGTAAACAGTTTGGTCTGGCATTTGCTATGCTAATTTTTGTCATTCTTTTGAGAAGTGTGGTATCCGGTAAACACTGGCAAGGAACTTTGTGCTAATTGTTCATGCAGTGGCTGATGACGATGAGGAATGTTGCCTGATGTGGATATGTGCCACAGTTAATAGATGAAAAAAAGCAAGGTTTCATAATAGTTTGGACCACTATACGACCCACTCGTTACGCTAAGCGAATCGTGCGATGACTGCTTGTTCTTCCACTGTTTTAAAACGCTTGCTAAGTCGTAATAACGCGTTGGCTTTTCCTGCATCAAGCCTGCCTAAGGCAAGTTTGTCCACAAGTCCCAAGCACTGGCGTGGCTCAGTAGAGAAATACTAGGCTGGCACCAAGCGGACCCGGATTCGAGCTGCACTGTGTCATTGGTACTAGGGTTTTCTCTAATTTCATGCGTTGTAGTTACGGACACCAGCAGCGCTGCCGGCAGACAACTACGGCAGCGCGTGATCCTAGTTTTGATCTCATACCAGCTTTCACTGTAAAAATTACCATCATAAACCTTGCTTCACTCCGAAAACACGAGCGCCGATTTCTCCGGCGTATACGTAGCGCAATAATTCTAGTGCATGAGGCACCGGAAACAGAGAGGGAACGAAGTAGAAACATAAAGAGGGAATTTCACGTGTAAATATAATTAAGAAGGTTTTCAACTCACCAACTCAAGTTTCGAGCATCGTAACCACTCGCCTATACAGGCACAGCTTCGTAATATACAGTGAAGGGCGTTAGTAAGTAGAACGGGAGGGCGGCGGGGAAGTAAAGCGCTGCATTCAAAGAGGAGAGAACAGAATGAAAACCACAGAAAGCCAGGAAAAGAATGTGAGGATCAAACCAACGATGAGTAGGACGAAATATGGATAGAAAGGAAGGAAGTGTAAGACAGAGGTTACAAAAAAAAAACTTAAGAGATTAAGAAAGAGCCATTGCCAACTGTAGCTTTCATTCCCAACACCAAGCTAATCAGTGCACCTTTTATGCGTACGACGGCAACGTGAAGACACTACAGTAAACAACGTAATTGACAACCATAAAGCACAGCAAAAAAAAAATTCTCTACTTTTTAAATGAAAGCCTACAGGCAATGAAGCCTGAAAAGGTAAAGGAAACTTCACTTATACGTAGCCATTGAAGTGAATTCTAGTCATAGAATATAGATGTAAAAAGATTACAGCAACTTGTTGCTGTCACAGACCGAGCCTACAACCTCCGATTGATGTGGTCGATACTCCACCACAGTTATATTTTTTTTCCATTTTATTCCGGTTTTTCAGAAAGAGAGAAATTATTGTCGCTCGGGGCTACTGCATATATTCATGTATTTGTTTACTTATTAATAATTACTTTCTGTGTATTTATTAGTTTCCACACGTATGAAAAATGTCTGAAACTGAGCAAGCACTCAATGTTTCCAGCGCAAGCCAGTGCGACGTCCCCCGGTGCCCATCGATGCCAGTTTGCCATTTCCTGCACCCTCGGTAGGGATGCTGGGGCCGATGCTACCGCCCCAACAGCCGGAGGCTTCCATCGCGATGTGCGGAGCCCGCAATGCGTTCGGCATCCACGGCCGTGTCAAGAACCTCCACTACCCTGAGAGCGGTGCAGACTTCGCCGAGTTCCCCTGGCATGTGTGTAACTAACACAAATCATTCTAGAAAGAGTACAGAAGAACCACAGCGATGTTACTGTTGTTATGATGCTCTACTGCCGACGCTATTATAAAGTCCTCCTGGGTTGTGTGCTGGCCTCAGCGCTCTCATTCCGATAGAAGCGAAATGCTTGAGGTCCACGCGCTTTTACATCTGTCGCATGGCAAATGTAATGTAATTTAGAAGGAATGAAATTAAGTGGACCTACTGTCATTGTACATCCGTGCTGTCACATGATGAAAACAAATGTGATTTTGAAATGACGACCATGACTTTACCTCTCCTTAGCCGTGCATTTTGGGAGAAATAAAAATATGCGGAAACTTGCATGCAAGATGCCTGTATCCACAAAAAAAAACTTCATGGTTAAAAAGGTGCGCCCAGAATATAAACGCGGTCGTTTCACACAACTTGCCACAGCTGCATGACACAGTCGAAAACCAACATGACGGAAAATATGCGCAACCGGGTGAGAGTACAATTAGCAGAAGCGGGGTGCACGACTGACTTCCCAACTGCAGAAATGTGACGGCGGCAGCTATTTCGTGTTTTCATTATTTTAGTCACCGCAACACGTGCAATCAAACAATCAGCATCCGTGATACAGGCAACAAAAACAGAGAGAAAATCAATCACGGGCGGCATTCAGCCACCGTAGTCTAAAGTATCTTTTTGGAAACTTTCGCGCATACTTTTAGGTTATCCAGCCAATAATAGGTTGATCTAGTTAAGAACAAGATCTTTACAAATGATAAAATTTCCGCATACATAGGTTAACAGTAATCTCCCTAAAAGTCCCTGGCATCGAGACTACTGCTTCGGTCTGAAATCGAAGGCGAATGTGTTTCGGGAACTCATTCGAACAAAAATGTCATTTTCATAAAATAGCATTTGCTTTTATTTCTTTATTTATTTCATTAATTTTATTTATGATACCTCAAGTGTCCCTAAAGGGAGGGGTTTTACATGAGGGGTGGGCATATCTACAAAAACAGCTCTTCTATGATGCGTTTGAAGATGGCTTTGTCGGAATGACGTGTGACTGTATTCAAATGACATTATAAACAAATGACATTTGCTGTTAATGACATTTTAGTTGCCGTGCGACAAGGGTATTAGATTCAGCTAAACGCGTATGTTAAATGACACAGAATTTCAAAGGCGATATAACTTAAGCAATGTATAACACAAACATTATCTACGAAGTGTAAACGGAGAACGTAGCGTAGAACATACGTGGAATTCATTTTAACGCACGTGTCGTGCCACGTACTACATGAGCAACGCGCGTATGGTTGTCGTGTGAAGAGGGAAGTTACAACCAACCGCCACCTGCATCACGAGTTCGTGTTCGCGGTCACAATCCTTGCGAGCGCTCGCTGTAGAAGTATGTTGTGACATTATTGCGCCACCTAAAAGACAGGAGACGACATAGGAGACGACGAAATAGACGATCACAATTGCAAACATTTAACTGGGCTCATTGGACGCACACATGATGCTTTTCATGCATTCGTGCTTGACTTTACAAAAAAATTACAAAAATACTTACAAGAAAGGTCTCAAATTTATAGTTTGCAGTTTCGATTCTTCGGCATAAGAGCCGATTATTCGCTTAAAGGTAAACGGTTAATCGATTATTCGGAATTGATTTCCGCCTTTCAAATAGCCGAATTATTCGATTAGAACTTCTCTACTAATCGATTACGGCAACTGCTTCGTACACGTCTATACCACCTCTTGTCCGGTGCACATGACTGCGAGGCGAGCAATGTCGAGACGCGGAAGCCGAGCTTGTTTAGTCTCTTTAGTTGCGAAGGAGATTAAGGTCGAGCTCAATCCAATGTGCAGCGTGACCACCCTGACTGCGCGTGCGCGTCCGCTCCCCTTTTCCCTCTTCTCATACCCCCCCCCCCCCCTAACGCCTCGCAACGATGACGCAGGCAGCGGTCCGCTAGGGAGTTCCTTGATTGAAAAACTCGCTGTTTGCACTGCACAGCCGTTCACTGGCCATTGGGTGTATTTATATGCAGAGAATCTTGACATCCAAGGTAGCGCCGGTAGGATATTTCTTCTGTGCGTTCTTGAACAAGAAAAATTCACAGCGTGCGTGTTATCTAAAAGTAGACTGCAATCACATGTTGTCCTCTTTCTTATATCGTGCACTGGTTAATCGTTGGTCAAGTACACATGGTGCATACTTGCTTTTTCGTTTAAAGTACATTTTAATGTGTACACTGCTTTTTTTTGCAATCTCGTATTGTCGAGCAATCGCAAGAAGAGCACGGTGTGGACATCGTTCATGAAAGATTCAGAAACGCTGACTTCCGGTGTGTGGTAAAGGTGGTTAGCAGTACAGGAAGCCACAGGGGAACTCTTCAGATATGAACTGTTGCATGCTAACTTTTTTATGCGCCAAGAAAAACCCTCCAAGGTAAAGAAAAATTGGGAAATATTCAAGCTTTGCCTTTAGGAGTTGAATGCGATAGCTATATCGTACCCTTAATGCGTACTACAGCCTCTTAGTGCATACCTTTTATATTACGATATTACTCCAGATGTTTAAGTTGCGCATTGCTACAATGGAATTAATAAAGTTGAAAGTGACTCTTTCAGTGAATCATTTGCATAAGCCTGCATTATGCGCAATGGCTGGCATTGTTTAGTACACCACGAGCAATTATGCGGGTGAGATGTTTTCGAACTTTCTACACACTAAACAAAAATGACCGTAAATAACCCCAAAAACTGGGTAAACCATTTGTCCTGTAGCGCACTACCTTTCCTGGGTTTTTTTCACCACCTACTATCGAGGTAAAAATTTACTCTCGTGCTAACTGAGTTTTTGAACGTAGGGAGAGTAGCAATTATTTACCCCAGTGAGGTCTGGAGCGAGTATAGAGAGAGTAAATTTTTACTGCCTTCACAAGGTTTTTGAGGTGATTTCTGGGAGTTATTTCCGGTGATAAAAAAATAAAAATTGACGGGTGCATTCGCCCAGAGTCGACAAATTTATTAAATAACAGAATTGATTGAATTTATTAAACGGCAGAATTGGTGACACATAGATTCACATACAGCCAAATACGCACACACACAACAAATGCAGAATAATACACCACTCGAACAGACTGCACGCGATGCTCAACTATACACTTTGACAATCCGGTATATATAGGCACGACTTTTTGACCAGCCCTGTAGTACCGGTAGGAGAGCTGTTTTTTTGCATTGATTGACAACAACGGTTGAAGGTGCAAGCGTAAACTTAAGGTGGGCTGCAGGGCACTAAATGTCACACCGACCTTTTATAGTAAATCTACCCGATCTCACCTTTTTGAGTATCCAATAATTACTTGGGACACCGGGCTCATGGCCCCACGCGTGTTAGCACTGCTGATGCACAAGTCCATAAAATATACCTAAGTACGCACAAACCATGGTAGCTCAATGATTTTCATTGAGCGACGGTGCACAAACGCAGTAGCAGCACGTATTCATCACAACGGGCGTAGAGGAGCGGTGTATGCCTGCACACAAGCTTCTTACCGACGGCGTACTAGGCCTTTTCGAGGAGCACGGCTATCCGATGAAACACAGCTGGCAATCACAGAACACATATCCTGTGCAAATTTCGTCGTCATTTCAGACACAAATGAACACGTGACCGCTATATTACGGGAACGGGGCGGTGTATGCATACTTCCAACGAAAGATCACCGTCCGGGTTTTTTTCGTGCTCACCGGCAGCCGCTTGTTGGTTCCGTCTGCCTCGTATCGGCTTCGCGCTGCATGTTTGAGAACAGTTGGTGCATGAGATGGGCAATTCGGGCAGCACTTTACTCATGCTGACATCGCCTACTCTGGAACAGGATATATGCGATGCTTCTTTCACCTGCCCCGGCGACACACTGCCACTGGTCACTGGCGGCCGCGGCTCGGTGCCGCCGACAGAGTGAAGCATTTTGCTTATTGCTTCTCCAGTAGGCAAGCACGGACGATGACACCAGATTGATTTTGTTACCACTGGCAGATCTTCGCGATTCGGCTCGGAAGCGAGATATCCGCGACGTGCAGGTTCGGAGGCGCTCGGAAGCGCACAATCGCTCGATGATGTAGGAAACACGTGAGATCCATCAGCCCAACAAGACACACAGATGCCGAGCTTCCTGCACCGTCTGTCTCCAAGGCCAAAGCCGAGCAAAAGCCAACAATTTGCGAAAATATGCAGGACAACTTTCCACAGCAGGTTTTCTTTCTTTTTTTTCTTCTTTTTAGATCCCCCCCCCCCCCGTGTTTTTTTCTTTTTCGCTCACAGAATGGTGTTCTCGCTTGTTGTGTTTATGCTGCCCCCCGTTCCAGTGAAAGTGCGTTGACTCGAGGTCAGTCCTGAGGCACGGCGATACCAAAAAAAAAAAATATCTGTGGTCCGCGCGTACCTTCTTGATTCACTGAGAGCGTCACGATGGGGGGCATGGGGCAAAAGCCACCGAAGCAGCTGCACCTTGCAGTCACGTGGTAATAAACTGTGAAACGCAGGTTGAAAATCACGTGATAGAAAACTTCCTACGTGGTAAAACTGGATTTTGACATCCTTTTACAACTTGCCTGAGAGGTGGTGGTAAAACTATGTCATGTACGATCTTTTACTCCTACACGAGGTAGTAATTTTATACCTGAGAGAGTTTTCAGAGGTCATGAGCCGCAAAAACCCCCAACTCGGATAGCTTTTGCTTACATTGTAAGTACCGAGTACGTCTTCTTAAGGTAATACAGGCAGAATATAATGTGGTTCTTGTATTTACACATCGTAGCGTTCGTTGTTCTTTTCTTAAGGGGCTCCTGTTGCCGTTTCACTTTAATTCTTACAAGTAAAAATTGTTGTTGACCAGTAAATCAGAGAAAAATTATATTAGAAGGCATAGCAGATGGCCTGACCTAGTATGGTCCAGTATGCTACTCCGTATTGCATTCCTGCA